CGTATAATAAATGTTAAATGGAAATTGAAGTGCAACGCACAGTGCGAGGAATCGCGCGTTATATGAACCGTATAGGTTAGATAAGTTCAGACTAGGTCAGGCATACGAGATTCGTAAATCTTTATAATTATTATTAAAGTGTAGATATTCATCGCGTTTCATGGACGCAATTTCTCATCTTGAAAGTTACAAGTTTGTTCAGGCACGGGATTGATTGGTTTCATAGGTTTGGAGCGGAAAAATAATTACCTTAAATTTTACCATTATTATTTGTGTCGTTTTTCTTCGACGACGGCTACTTACAGAAGTTCATTGAGAATTGAATATTAATTGCGTATTAATGTAACGAAAATTACGAAATGAATGCAAAGTGGAATTGATCGGTTTGGCTTCCGAGAGGCTCATATATCCATCTGCTGCATTTCTCGAGTATCATATCGTACACGTATTATTACACTATTCTTTATAACCATTAAACAACTGTTTCCTCGTCAAGTAGTCCATTTATAACACGTGTAGTCATTAGTTGTTGGTTTATCCATTTAAATGATAAATCACACGGACAGGGAAAAATTAGACTACAGGGTGGTTGTAGACATTATAACGCGTTATATGGAATTTTAATGGGTGAAATAAATGTGTTCGGTCGCGTTGGTAAAAATATGAAGCTGCGTAAACATCCAGTCTAGTCATCATGCTACATACGTACACGTGCATTTCTTTCAGTTCCAATTCCATATGCGTTATTTCGCGATTATAACCTATATTCGGCATCGCGGTATAATTGCAGTGCGAGAATATCGCAGTTAGAATTATTATCGGCATGATCGAAATCCATTTCTGGTAAATGGGAGAAGCACACACCAACCGTGTGTTTAATTCACCAATAGAATTAAAAACGAGATGTGAAATGTATGTAAGTGGAATTCAAGGTTGACGAAGATGGATTGAAAGAAATTACTATTGGCGGAGGCGTTGAGGGCTTTCCAAGGTTAATCTCGATCAATCCCGGATAAGGTCGTTCAAAGTGTATCTCACGAATAGACCGAAGGTTCCCTCAAGAATCTCGAGATCCTTTTA